CATACACCCTCATCCAGGCGACCCAGCTGGTCAGACCCCAGCTTGTGTCCAGTTGGCAAATCTAGCTACCCTGCCCCATTGGATCTCCTCTCTTGAGCCATAGCCATCTTGAGGCTTTCTCTGTCGCTTCAGTGGTATTGCGGATGGCTCTTCTCCTCCTTACTCCATCAACTTTGCCATGAGTTGCCATTACATCTACTTTGTTTGGTGGGCAGGGCTTATTTGGCTGTGGGTCGGGCTGGTGCCAGTCTGCACACTATGGCAGTACTGCAGGCATACCAGGCCGACCTTCTTAAAGCGATTGATGAGGGAGAGGGGACAACTCCAGAAGATGTTGCGGAGTTGAGAAAGGCTGCAGACTTGTCTCTCCGAGTCACCAAGGAAACAGCCTCGCTATCGGCCGTTCCATGGCGGCTATGGTGGTCTCGGAGAGACATTTATGGTTAAATCTGTCAGGCATTAAGGAGAAGGACAGGACCCCGATTTCTCCTTCTGGCCTGTTCGGCGACGCCGTAAATACCATTGTCGACAGGTTTCAGGAGGCGAAAAAACAGTCTACAGCCTTTAGACAATATCTCCCTCGCCGCTCTAAATTGAAGAAGCCTGCCCCTAGTGGGCAGCCGCAGCCATCCACCAGCTCCCCCGCCTACAGACAGGCACAAAAAAAGAGTGTTATTTCTAGAGCCTCCCCTCAAGGAGCATGGGGGCATAGAAGGCGCTCTCAACCGAAGTCTCAACAAAATCAGGGCGATCTGAGGGCCGTCCTGCAGGCGAAAAAGGCTTCGGGGAAGAGATCCTAACAAATGTTGAGTCTCTTCGGGCTGCCCCACCCGTGGCGGAGCAATCGAGGTCGCCTCCAGGAAATCGATCTCGGCTTCCCGCCGTCAAGTGCACTGCACGCTGCACTGTCTGCCCCACAGGCTTACGGCCAGGCAGCATTCGCGTTAGCACACTGAGAATCGTTTTCGGTTAAACCCTGCCGGACAACCGCTTCAGGGGGTCGAAAACAAATCTTGGAAAAATCTAACGAATATTTCTCTGTGGGTCCTGCGCACCATTCAAAAAGGGTACAGGCTGCAGTCGACCCAGAGCAGGCTCGGAACAAGAACTAAACTCCCTATTGGTAAAGGAGGCCATAGAACGTGTTCCTCCACCGGACAGGGAGTCCGGGTTTTACAGCCGCTTCTTCATAGTTCCCAAGAAGGAACAGGGGTTGCGTCCAATAATAGATCTCAGACACTTGAATCGGTCTCTGAGGAGGTTCAGGTTCAAGATGCTCACTATTCCCATCATCGTGAGCCAAATTCAATCCGAGCATTGGTTTGTCACGATAGATCTGAAGGACGCATATTTCCACATTTCCATCCTTCCATCTCACAGCAGGTTCCTGAGGTTCGCTTTCGGGGGCGAAGCGTTCCAATATCGGGTTCTTCCATTCGGCCTAGCTCTCTCCCCTCGCACATTTACCAAATGCATGGATGCCGCTCTAGCTCCGCTGAGGCTTCAGGGTATCAGGGTGCTAAATTATATAGACGACTGGCTTATTATGGCCCAGTCACAAGAGCTGGCAGTTCGGCATCGAGATATCATCCTTGCCCACATCCAGAGCCTGGGGTTGAGACTCAACATGAAAAAAAGCGTGTTGGCACCAGCCCAGAGAACCACGTTCCTGGGAGTGGTGTGGGACTCAGTCACGATGCGGGCACAATTGTCTCCTGCACGGATCGAGTCCATCCTGGCCACGGTGACCAGGATAAAGCTGGCCAAGCCATCACTGTAAAACATTTTCAGAGAGTGTTAGGGCTCATGGCAGCAGCGTCCAACGTCATTCCATTTGGCCTGCTGCACATGAGGGCCCTGCAGTGGTGGTTGAAAACCAAGGGGTTTTCCCCAAGGGGGAACCCATTCCGCATGATCAGGGTTACGCGCAGATGCCTTCGTTCCCTATCTATGTGGAAGATAACTTGGTTTCTGTTCCAAGGTCCTGTGTTGGGAGCGGCATGTCGCCGGAAAGCCGTTTCGACAAACGCCTCGCTCACGGCCTGGGGCGCGGTCACGGACGGCCGCTTTACGAGAGGTCTATGGCAGGACCATCATTCCTCCTGGCACATAAATTGCCTGGAGATGTTGGCGGTGTTCCGAGCTCTGAGGTGTTTGCTGCCAGACCTCATAGGTCAACACGTCCTTGTTAGGTCAGACAATATGTCAGTGGTGGCCTATATAAATCATCAGGGGGGTCTGAGATCCCGCCCTCTATGCAAACTGGTGCATCAGATCCTCCTATGGTCCCAGGGGAGACTGTTGTCTCTCAGAGCAACATACACTCACCGGCCACTTTATTAGGTACCCCATGCTAGTAATGGGTTGGACCCCCTTTTGCCTTCAGAACTGCCTCAATTCTTCGTGGCATAGATTCAACAAGGTGCTGGAAGCATTCCTCAGGGAGTATGGTCCATATTGACATGATGGCATCACACAGTTGCGGCAGATTTGTCGGCTGCACATCCATGATGCGAATCTCCCGTTCCACCACATCCCAAAGATGCTCTATTGGGTTGAGATCTGGTTACTGTGGAGGCCATTTTAGTACAGTGAACTCATTGTCATGTTCAAGAAACCAATTTGAAATGATTAGAGCTTTGTGACATGGTGGAAGTAGCCATCAGAGGATGGGTACATGGTGGCCATAAAGGGATGGACATGGTCAGAAACAATGCTCAGGTAGGCCGTGGCATCTAAACGATGCCCAATTGGCACTAAGGGGCCTAAAGTGTGCCAGGAAAACATCCCCCACACCATTACACCACCACCACCAGCCTGCACAGTGGTAACAAGGCATGATGGTTCCATGTTCTCATTCTGTTTACGCCAAATTCTGACTCTACCATCTGAATGTCTCAACAGAAATCGAGACTCATCAGACCAAGCAACATTTTTCCAGTCTTCAACTGTTCAATTTTGGTGAGCTCTTGCAAATTGTAGCCTCTTTTTCCTATTTGTAGTGGAGATGAGTGGTACCCGGTGGAGTCTTCTGCTGTTGTAGCCCATCCGCCTCAAGGTTGTGCGTGTTGTGGCTTCACAAATGCTTTGCTGCATACCTCGGTTGTAACGAGTGGTTATTTCAGTCACTGTTGCCCTTCTATCAGCTCGAACCAGTCTGGCCATTCTCCTCTGACCTCTGGCATCAACAAGGCATTTCCGCCCACAGAACTGCCGCTCACTGGATGTTTTTTCTTTTTCGGACCATTCTCTGTAAACCCTAGAGATGGTTGTGCGTGAAAATCCGAGTAGATTAGCAGTTTCTGAAATACTCAGACCAGCCCTTCTGGCACCAACAATCATGCCACGTTCAAAGTCACTCAAATCACCTTTCTTCCCCATACTGATGCTCGGTTTGAACTGCAGGAGATTGTCTTGACCATGTCTACATGCCTAAATGCACTGAGTTGCCGCCATGTGATTGGCTGCTTAGAAATTAAGTGTTAACGAGCAGTTGGACAGGTGTACCTAATAAAGTGGCCGGTGAGTGTACATCCCAGGGGATCAAAATCAGGGAGCAGACATCCTGTTGAGGCAGGGGCTGAGGCCCGGGGAATGGAGACTCCACCCCGAGGGGGTGGAATCAATATGTCAGAGGTTCGGCCCAGTGGAAGTGGATCTATTTGCATCTCGAGAGACGACCCACTGTCCACTGTGGTTCTCCCTCACACATCCAGCCCCGCTGGGGTTGGATGCCATGGTGAAGACGTGGCCGAGGCTGCGCCTGAACGCATTTCCTCCCGATCGCTCTGCGCCTGGGAGTTCTAGAGAGGGTCCGTCGCAACGGGGTTAGTCTACTACTAGTAGCCCCGTTGTGGCCGGCTCGAGTGTGGTTCTCCGACATAATATCACTCCTAGAAGGCCCTCCATGTGAGATTCCCATCAGGAGGGACCTCCTGACGCAGGCAGAGGGCTCAATATTTCACCCTCGGCCAGAGCTATGGAAACTGTGGGTCTGGCCCCTGAGGGGGCACAGTACCAAGAGGCCGGCCTGTCAGCAGGAGTAGTCGAGACCATACTTAGCTCTAGAGCTCCCTCCACAAGGAAATTGTACGGCCTAAAATGGAATGTTTTCACCGTATGGTATAGAGACCATGAGGTGGATCCAGTTAACTGCCCGGTGGCTTCAGTGCTGGAGTTCCTCCAAGATTTCTTCTCGGCTGGTCTTACCCCGTCCACACTCAAGGTGTACGTGGCTGCCATTGCGGCTTTCCACGCTCCGCTGGGTGATGGGCCTCTGGGGATACATCAGTTGGTCGTACGTTTCCTCCGTGGAGCTTGGAGGATGAGACCTGCAGCTCCTACCAGAGTTCCCACATGCGACCTGGCAGTGGTTCTCGAAGGGCTGGTCGAGGCCCCCTTCGAACCTATGGAGTCGGCTGAGGCCAAGAACTTTTTTCCTCAAGGTAGCCTTTTTGCTAGCCATTACTTCTCTGAGGAGAGTAGGAGATCTTCAGGTGCTTTCATTATCTCATGGGTGCCTGGAGTTTTCTCCAGGCGATATTAGGGCTATCTTGCATCCCAGGCCGGGCTATCTGCCTAAAATACCATTGAATGTGGCACGGTCGACAGTTCTGCAGGCTTTTCATCCTCCACCTCACGTGACGGCGGATGAGGAGAGACTTAATTTGCTCTGCCCTGTCAGAGCTTTAAAAATTTATATTGAGAGGTCTTCTTCATAGCGGAAGTCAGACCAGTTGCTGGTGTGTATCGGGTCGCCCAAGAATGGGCTTCGCGCGTCCAAACAAACCATCAGCAATTGGATTGTTCAGGCCAGATCTATGGCCTATCAGGTGCGCAGTTTGCCTTCACCTTTGGTCGTGAGGGCTTATTCAACCAGAGGGGGTGTTCCCCAAATGTGTCGTATCGACGCAGTGTCTCGTTCCCTTCTCAGGGAACAAGGGTTACAGTTGTAACCCGAGACGTTTTCTTGGTTGCTAACTGAACTGCGTTTGTTATAGGAATTGTCACCAGATGTCCACTGGAGCTGAGGCTGAAGAAGGTAACTGGAGTCAACTGGAAGGCTGTTCTGTCCTACCGTAAGAAGATATTTGAATATGTGGATTCGTCATTTGTTACAGGTTTATAAACTGCTTGCAGTCTGTTTTGCGTTCTTAACTTGATGGTTTTTGATGGTTTCATGGATCACTCGAAATGATCAATCTTAAAACTGAATTTAAATTATGAAATTTTGCAGGTCTTGTTAAACCCAGCAAATTGGCAAATGGAAAGGAAGCACATTCAACTTGTGATTTGAAGAAATTTGAATTTGAAGATCCTTCATTAGTTGAAGAACATGTTAAAGCAGGTAAGTAAATCTGCAGGAAAACTCCTTTCTTTTCAGAGTTACTAGAACATAAAATAGAGATTAAAATCTCAAGCTGCAGTCACAATCAGTAAATAAATATTAAAATTTGTTTTGTCTTATGAAATTAAATGCTGTTGTCTTGGATAATGATTCAGTCAATTAAATGTATTATTCCAGTTCATTTAATCACTGCTCAGAACTCATATTGCATAGCAACATCCTGTTATATGAAGGGATAGGTGCATGCACGTGCCATGTCGTAATTACGAGATTCCGACTTGTACAAAGCACCCATGTCCTCGTAGAAACTCGTAATTACAACTCAGAATTTTCTGAGAGCTTTGACTTACCACGTGACCGCTGACGGCTGCAGTTTAATTTTGCCATTGAAAGTGTTGCCATAGAAACAAATAATTCTGAGTCCCACTGAGTGTTCAGGGGCGCTGTAAGGGGGTGGGGGAGGGAGTCCAAATGTCCAGATGTCCACTGGAGCTGAGGCTGAAGAAGATGTCCACTGGAGTCAACTAGAAGGCTGTTCTATCTAAAGAGCTAAAGGGAAGCTTCAGGCTCATGCTGCTTTAAAGGATGATTTTATGCTTATAAACAGTTAATTTTGCAGTGTGTGTGTTGTACAGCCCAGAATGAGCTGGCAGGAAAAGGGGTAGGAATATGTGATGAACTCATCACATTAGAGGTCATGTCACCAGATGTGTGTGACCTCACACTGATCGATCTACCTGGAATTGCCAGAGTTCCAGTAAAAGGACAACCCCAAGATATTGGAAATCAGGTAGGGAGCATAATCTGATTTTACGCACCACATTTTAGTACCATAGAAATCCAGTTTTAAAACTACATCTTCATGTCTTGCAGATAAAACATCTGATTATGAAATTTATTGAGAAGCAAGAGACTATAAACCTGGTAGTGGTTCCTTGTAACAATGACATTGCAACAACAGAAGCATTAAAAATGGCACAAGAAGTAGATCCTGAGGGCAGAAGAACTGTCGGTAATGAAGCAGATGATCCACACACAACATCTAATAACATCAAATATCAAAATATTTGAGGACTTTAAATCATCAAATGCACTTTTTACAACAAAAAAATTTCATTCTCACAGCCATTTTGACCAAGCCAGATCTCATAGACAGGGGAACAGAGAAGAACATTCTGGACATTATCCACAACAAAGTGATTTATCTCCGCAAAGGTTACATCATGGTGAAGTGTAGAGGACAACAGCAGATCGATGAGAACATTCCTCTGGAGGAGGCGACAGCAATAGAGAGAGATTTCTTCCAAAACCATGACCATTTCAGGTTACAGTCTGAAAAGAATACAATTAAACTTTTAGCATGTCATTTCTGAATTCAAATTCATTTTATGTTTTGAGGTGCATAAAGTAACAAAAACAACAACAACAACAACAGCAACAACAAAAACATTCAGGATGACACAACTGTCCTGATATAAGTAAAACAAATAATAAATAAAAAAACTTAAGAATGAAATTAATGAAAAGAACACCTTAAGCAGTTTGTTGGCATAATCTTTTAGTAATACTTCTTTTATAAAAAATATTTTCACAAGACGTCAGCTTCGCTGCTTATTAACATTCTTGGAAAAAATTTGTCCACAAAATCATATAGCCATATGGCATAAACTACATGCAAAAAAAAAAAAAAAAAAAAATTATCATCACAGAAAGTAGCCTTGCAGAACCTTAAGACTGTATCAAGGTCAATAAGTCTCAGATATATTTCACCTTTATTTGACAAGGCAAAGTTAGTTCATATTGTAAAATGTCATGTGGTATTACAACCCCAAAACCTAAAAAAAAAGATTTTTTGTTAGGTTTTTGTGATGTTCACTTTGTCCATTATTATTTTTTCAAGAATACCTGTTTGCCAAGCTACAGGCTATATGAGCTAAAGTAAACCTCATCTAAACTAAGTGCCTTCTCTTTTTCTACAGAGATCTCTTGAATGAGGATAAAGCGACTATTAAATGTCTTGCTGTCAAGCTGACTCAGAATCTTGTTGATCATATCAAAGTAAGTTTGTAAATGTCTCAAACTAAAAGTCCTAAATTTGGTGAACTGCATTTGTAGTTTGTGAGAAACTATTACCAAATTGTTTATTATCTTTGTCAGAAATCACTGCCACAGCTCAATCAGCAGATTAAAAAAAAGTTGTGGGAAGTGAAGAATGAGCTTAAGGAGTGCGAGACTGGACCACCAGAAGATCCTAAGGGAGCCAAACAGTTCCTCGTTGAAGTAGGACCTCAAGTCATCACATCTTCTTACTTCAGAGAATTATGATTAGGGGTTCTTAATAGGGATGGCCCGATACCGATACTGGCATCGGGGATCGGGCCGATACTGTCCTAATATACTCGTACTCGTACTCATAAAAATTCGCCGATACCACGCACCGATACCACGTACATTTTGCAAAACGAAACTGGCCGCCGCGAGTGCTTTGTCGAGGTGAACTGAGGCATAGGAAAGTATAGGCTAATGTCGGCGGTTTGGGCTCATTTCAAGATAAGGGATGATGACAACAGCAAGGCAGACTGTGAGTTATGTTCAGCTAAGGTGTCGAGAGGAGGGAAAGAAAGTACATCGTTTAACACCAGCAATCTAATTAAACATCTGAAGACGCATCATAGATCTGATGGCCGAGCGCGCGCGCGGGCGGTAATGCACTCACTCTGTGTGTGCGGGTGCGGGAGAATAAAACGATTCGCGGGACTCCCGCAAACTAGAAATATCTATGAATAAAACATAAAAACTAAAAGATTTTTATTAATCTCTTGCAGAAAAGCAACAAGAACAACTACAACAAAATAGAAACGATTTACAGGACAGAGTTTCTATTCATAACATGGTTACAGCGTTGAGCGATGTAGCCAATCACAGACATATGTGTTGATTTCTGGAACGCAATGGCCAATCAGAAGCATTTAAGATAGACTCCCCTCACCGCTCAAAACGGACTTTTTTGTTCAGTGCTGAATTCTGCATGCTGGCAAATCCTCTAATTATAACAAACAAAGTGTGGATATTATGAAAGATTGATTGTGCAGTCAGCTTCATTGATAATAACAGAGATGTGTGAGATCGCGATGAACTGTCAGCTTTTAGGATTTATTAAGGGAGCGCACTTTGCGCGCATTCAGTCATGCCAGACCATGCACGCAGTAGCCTGCTTGCTTTTATGTTAAATTAACAGTGGTTTGTGTGTTAATACATTTATTATTTTACTAATTTTTATTTATTTTTTAGACTTGTTAAAACAAGCAGAGAAGAAAATAAAAACAGTCTTCTAACCTGTGTTCTAAAATAGTCGTCTTCTTTTCTGGAAGCCTATTACTTTTGCGGTAGAAATATCGGTATCGGTACTCGGTATCGGCAAGTACACAAATGTAAATACTCGTACTCGTATCGGTTTGAAAAAAAATGGTATCGGGCCATCCCTAGTTCTTAATATGCATTTTGTGAAATAGACAGATCCTTTCATCCATATAATTAGCAGCCCTTTAAAAATATAAAAACAGAATACAGAAAAAAGTCAATAATTGCGACATACATTTTTTTGTGTTTGCAAGAAAAAAAAGTCAGAATAACAAACTCACAAAAAAAAGTTTGAATTGCAATATTTTTTTCTTAGGAAAAAGAGAATAAGAAGATATTAAATCCAAAGTGTGACACTATTTTTTTTGCAATTACCTTTACATCAAGTTAAAAGAAGTAAATGTTTGAAAAGCAAGGTGCATTCTGTTTAAATCCACTATTGTCTCGTGCCTTGTGTGAACAGCCCCTGAAAATGTTCTCTGTTCAGATAATACCTCTTTTACCTCCTCAGAAGATTCACTTTTGCATGATATTGTAAAAGGCTAATGAAACTTTTTTTTCTTTCTTCACAGACCCTAAAAAGATTCAGTGATCAAATCGACTCTTTATCATCAGGGGAACAGATGAGTAAGGAAAACTTGTTTGTCCAGCTTCGGGCGGAGTTCAAGAAGTGGAATGATCATCTTAACAGCACAAAAACAACCTGTCAGTATTTACAACATGCTACAGCTATGAATTCACTGTTGTTGTTGTTTTCTTAGAGTTCTGATAAAAATGAAAAAGTCAGTTAATTTCATAAGAAATCAATTTTTTTTCCAAACAAGTCAGCGATTCAAAAAAGTTGAGCCAGACTAACAGAGGGAGGGAACTGCTTGGCTTCAGTAGCTACAGATTGTTTGAGTCGCTTCTGCAAAAACATGTGGCCAACCTTAAGAAGCCAGCCGTTGAATTACTCAATGCCATCATCAAAGGTACCATCGCAAAAGACTTTATGGTTATTGTAGAGAGCCTCCATCCAAATGATTAGATCACCAATTTAATGACATTAATAGTTTTAACAAATGTGGCTGTTTGTATTCTTGACTTGATGTATTTCTCCTATAGACATCATCATCACACATTTGACTGACGTGGTGAGTCAGTGTTTCAGGAACTACACTGTCCTTCAAAAGACTGCTAAGGTAAATATTGCTCCTAATTGGTGGAAAAATAAAAAAAATTAATCCAGAAGTTCCTCTTTCCTCTCTACTTTTTCCTTTGACTTTTTCATTTTGCCCATAGGACAAAATCAACGACATTCAGTTAACCCAGCAAGAAAAGACGGAGAAGAGGATGTTAGAGC